GGAGGGGACCCCCAGTTCCCCTATGGGGAGCCGGCCTAAGCCAGCAGTTGAACGTATCCTGAGGGCTCCTGGACTGTGAGAGGGGGCAGGCCAGGCTGAGAGACCTCCTCTAGTGCACAAATTTTTGTACACCGGGCCTCTAGTAAATTATAGAATTGTGTCACCACTGGGCTGTGTACCAACAATTAACATAAAATAATAGTGAATGTCAGCTGAATTTAAAAAAATAAAACTAGATTATTTCAAATAAACAGAAAAAAACTGTGAGTAATAATTCTCAAGGATAGGAAAATGAGACAAAGAAGCACAAACTGAGAGTACTAATATATAGATAGATAGTAAATAGATAGATAAATAGATAGACTGATGGATATATACATATATATATATACTTATATATATATATATCATATAAATTTATATATATGGCTAAATGTAATTTATATGAACTAGACCTTAAGGTATGGCCTTATTTGATTCCTCTTGCAATGGAATGAGAAGGACTTATTTATGTTCTAACCTGTTACATGTGCCTAGACAAAGTTACACTTCTCAGTTATGAGCTCTTCACCAATCTCTACCCCAATCTTCTTTGCCACCTAATGGATTAAGAGATTTTCAGAAAGGGGTGAAAGGTGGGACATAGATGTCTGTGGTGCTGCTTCATTGAAATTTGGGCCTATATTTAACAGAACCATGCATGAGGCTTAGAGTGAAGGAGACTTAAGAGAGGAATGTAACCCATTTCCATTCTACCTAATTAGTATGTGTCTGTACGGACAACACTGACAAGTAACATTGCATAGCAGCAAAGTACCTATCTTACCTATCACTTTTTTTCTCTTTTGACGAGTATGTGGGAGAAAATAATGATTTTTAAAAGTTCCTTCTAGAGATAATTGAGACAGGTTATGAAAGTATGCTATTAATTTTTTTGCTGTATATAGTGTATATTATCTAGAAATAGAAGTCACTTAAATACTACAAATTACATATCAATTCATCAAATTGATGACTGTTATTTCTCACATTTTATAAATCTTGTCCAGGAAAATTATGGGTTATAAAGTAAAAATACTTGCTAACATCAAGTAAAGAAGTCAACAGTACAAACTAAACAAGGAGCCAGCACCTATTTCTTATGACTCCATTTTATGACTAGAAAAATGTTTATGTTGGTAATGTGTATATAATAAGAAAGCAAATGCTGTATTTTTCATGGTACAGCAGCCTTTCTAAGTAAAATAACATGCAATTGAGTGGTTTTACTTTTTTGTAGTGTTGCATAATCAGGAGCCTACTTACTGCCTTGGAAGTTCCCAGAAAGACAATTTGCATTGCTGTGTTGTCTATTTAACAAAATCTATAACAGCAATACTTAGGGAGGTATTTTTTAAATGGCAATGTGGAGAGATAAGTATTTCTTAGCTAATCAGTATCATTTTACAAAGAAATACATTGCTCTCAAGGTTCTTTTTTATCTTCCTTTTACTTATAGGAATTGGAGAGTGCCTCTGGAAGCTGCGCCAGGAGCTGCTTGGGCTTCTAAAGTGTCCAACGGAGATTTAATCATCTAAGGTAAGTAACTAATTAATTTTAATTATATTTTTAGGGTGAAATGAAGTAACATTTATTTTGCCTTAAGATCGTTTCTTTATACCAGGAGGTTAATGGTCTTTTATTTAAGCATATATTTAATTAAGTAGTTCTTCTGATATGTTAGCTCCAAAGTGATGGGGAAGTTATTGGCATGTTGTCAATCCAATCCTGGGCTTACACTTTTTTCTCTGCAAAACTTTCATAAATGTTATATGGGATATGTTTTAGAGAGTCTGTATATGTATTTTTTTGCTTAAAATGATTTATTTACTTTTAAACCACGTTAATGTATGGTTTATAATGGATAAAATATGTTATACATGATGTTTAATGGCTAAAGATGTTTTCTTTATTAATATTTATGACAGATAGTGATATTTGTGGTATATTACTTTTAATTTGAAGTGGATGCTGAGTTACTCTGGGCTATTTTATTTCATTATCTTTGGAGGGCATAACATTTGCTCACTCTATATTTGAAAATTTGCAGTTATAAGTGTAAAAACTACCTCATACCCTCTCAGAACTTCTGTATGTGTGATGTGGATTATTTTTTTGTTTTTTGTAAGTCTTACTAGTTTTTCTATCTTCTCTTTTTTTTGCTGGTAGTTCTTTACCAAGCATCAAAACAAATATTTTATTTTTTATTGTTTTTAAATTTTTTGTTTTTAGTTGTGTGTAAATTGAGACATTTGTAATTACAGCTTTATTTTCATCGCAGTAAATAATTGAGAAAGGAATTAGAATTCAAGGGGTGCGCAGAAAGATAAGGCTTGGCTACTAACTGTTTTTAAGAAAAGCCTATTAATCCAAGCGAGGGGAGACATATGGGACTATATCTCTGTGTTCTCATGAAGACCAAGAAATGAAACAAAGAACATTTTCTTCTGAAAATTGGGTTTCCTATAAAGGGAATATGCCTGCCCTCCAGCACTGTTTCACATATATCAGACAAACCATAATAGCAAGGAAGGAATGACTCATATGTGAATGGTCTACCAGGTACAAATGGTGGACATGCACACATCAGTCTAAGATGGTGTTTTTGGGTCCAAAGGGAATTCTCTCTCTCTCTCTCTCTCTCTCTCTTAAATAAAAAATAAATATATTTCAGGAGGTAATAGGAGAGAAATTAAATACACTTGGACTATATTGAATTGGTCAGATTTTTTAAAAAAATACTTTTTGTTGATTTTAGAGAAGAAGGGAGAGCGAGAGATAGATAGAAACATCAGTGATGAGAGAGAATCACTGATTGGCTGTCTCCTGCATGCCTCTACTGGAATTGAGCCCAAAGCTTGGTCATGTGCCCTGACTGGAAATTGAACTGTGACTTCCTGGTTCATGAGTTGAGACACAGCGACTGAACCACACCAGTTGGGATGGTCAGATATATATTTTTTTTAAATAAAGGCATCACTGATAAAATTTAAATTATGAACTGCATAATGAAGTGTATGGCTCACATTTTACAAGGGTCTCCATTATGTTAACTTGGATGAGATAATGGGGAAAAATGGACAGACAGTTATACGAAGAGAATTAGGGAAAATTGCTCATTTGCATAGCACAAAACTATCATTTACAGTGATATTCCCATCAGAAAGGACATTTAATATCACTTAAAATATGATAAATTTTATGTGATTTGAAGACACTGTGAAATATAATTACTTTTTGAATATTTAGTATTTTTTTATAGTTCCTTTAGCCAGCGTAAGTAATCCTGACAAATTAACCTCTTTTTCCTGCTTGAATTTATGTGAAATCCTACAATGTATGCCTGATTGTAAACTCAAAGAACACTGTGTTTAGATGTACTTTGATAGGATATAGAAAGTGATTTTATTTTATCTGCAAAAAATGAAATACACACTATTGAATTATTATATGACTAGAGGTCTTTAAAAATTAATATTTCATTTGATTTTGATAGAATTTTTATAAACCATCAAAGCCATATGAGAATTTGTCTGCACTGAGAAGTTTAATTTTAACAAAAGTTTAAAGCATGGCCAAAACCAAAACCGGTTTGGCTCAGTGGATAGAGCGTCGGTCGGCCTGAGGACTGAAAGGTCCCAGGTTCTATTCCGGTCAAGGGCATGTACCTTGGTTGCAGGCACATTCCCACTAGGAGATGTGCAGGAGGCAGCTGATGGATGTTTCTCTCTCATCGATGTTCTAACTCTCTATCTCTCTCCCTTCCTCTCTGTAAAAAAATCAATAAAATATATATTTTTTAAAAAGTTTAACGCATGTAACATAAGCAGAATGAAAAGACAGATCCTGCATCCTCTATATTCTCGTCATAACAATTACACTAATTTTCACTTCCAGTTCCAGCCCCCTCTTATCCCAACACTGGCTCTTTCTCTTTTCTCTTTCTCATTTTAGATAAGGACCATCAAGTCTTCATCTAAAATGGCAAAGGAAGATTTTAGCAATGGCCCCCACAACCCCTGCTGACACCGGTCTATAGTTATTTAATTTACCTATTCTTAGTGCAAATCTTTATTTCCTTAGGGTCTTTGGTGAAGTTCTAAAATTGTTTTCTCAATTTTAAAGCCATCACAATGTTTTTTCAAGAAAATCTACATTAGTCAACAGTGAGAGAAATTGTGAATATAACTGAGACATTTTTATATTACGAAGAATCACTGATTCAAGTTTAAAAGGTAAATGTCACCAGTGTGATGACCAACATGTAATTAGAAAGTGAATGGCATTAACACCGGCATATTGAACAGAGAAAGGGCTGTAAGATAGGTCAGTACTTTGAACAGAAGGACACTCCTAAAACTGTGAGCCATGTCCACAAGTTGACATAGAACACTGAAAACTCAAGGATAACTGCCCAGCGCAAACATGGTAATGAGGAAATTTGAAGATTTCAAGATATTAAGTTTACCTTGTTTTGTGAAGGTAAGACTTGCAAGTGTTAGAGATGACAACAATTCTCTGTAAATATTTGCATCACTGTCAGACAAAAGGGAGATTAGACTTTTATAGCTGTGACTCCAAAGGGGTCCTGGGACACTTGGGTGTAATCTGATCCAATATGGGAAAGACTTTAAAATAATACCTTATGGATTTCATTTAACTAAACAAAAAAACAAGCAAAATGTAAAAATTAGAATTTCTTCCTAAGTAGAATGGGCTGCTGCATACAGGGTTGTGAATCCTGCCTCTAAAGATGCCCCGTGGTGTGGTTGGCTGTCCAACTGTTTCCCACCAGGGATTCATGTGTCAATCAGTGTTCGAAGAGATGATAGTTTGCATTTGTCCCCAAGAGTCTTTCTGGCTCCAAAAATCTATGAATTTTATCTATCTGATGTAAGTTGCCAACAGTGAGGCAGAAGGTTTAGTGGTCACAATACCAGGTCGAGTGTCAGCGTTCCTGTAGTGGGTTCACACTCACCTGGCACTTTTGGTACTGTACATGAGGTCTCCGGGGTTTGGTTTACTGACCTGTGAGAAGAGGATGATAAAAATTATTGCTCACAATATGTTCTCATCGAGGCTCATGTACTAGTGGTAATAAGAAATTACTTAAAATCAGCTATTATGAACTATATGCTTTGCAATTTCATTGACCTTGAATGAGAGTCCAACGATTATTAGTTACCTGCAAGTTTATTTTACAGCATAAACTTAAATATTGTACGCCTATTGTTTTTTAATTGTTAAGCTTTATGACTAGAATAAGATATTATCCTTTCCATAAGACTTTTGTTTATGTATTGGAAAAAAAAAACGGAGTTTCTGTCCTGAGGAAAATCTGGATGCTGGCTAAAAGATACCTACTTTTTTTTTTTTCATGGACACAATGGTAGCCTGTTTAGGTAAGTGCTCTGCGTAGGCATCCTAGCTTCTGAGAAGATGCCAAAATTATCCATGTTATCCATGGTACAGATATGTCCTGACTTAGTAACACCAAATATCTGTGGTCTGTTACTCATCATACAACATGAACATCACAATTTCTGCCAGCCAGTATTAATCAGCAAAGTAGAGGCAAGATGTAATATTGAGGGAGGACTGCCTGAATGATACGCAGTCTCCTCATTCATCTATGTA